GATATCCAATGAGGCCAGAGGACAGACAGCGAGAACGTGCGTCTGTATTACAGTATTGAGGCTCCGGACGATACTGACGGTCGAAATCTTGTAAGAATTCTTACCAAAGGGTCAGCTCGTCCATAGAGTTTTTGAAAGAGCCTAACGAATGCAATGCGCGGTAGTCGGTGTGAAGTTGAAACCATTTACTGACGAGTAGATGATATGAGGAACGTTTATTAATGATATAGAAGGAGATATGCTGAACAGGCTGACAGAGTGTCAATCATCATAACTGCAAAAAGTATTAGAATAACGGTAGAAAATATGATTTAAAATCGTCATAAAAAATTAGCCAACAAGAAAATCGTTACAAAAGTGAACAGTAGAATTGGTACAAAAGAATTGAAAACATTCTAGTCGGTAGGAGAGAAGGTGGGTAAGAACTTATCGTGACAAGGAAACTTGACTGTGGCCGTATAAATAAATATATTTTATATTAAAAGACCAGAGGGCCTTGTTATTGCAAACTAGGTGCCATGGAAAAATAAAATCAAATTTGATAAATGCTGCTCTTAGTGAGCAACTGCATAGGCAGCGGGAGTGTTTAGTATGATAGGCAGATAAATTTATTGAGAAGAAGAAGACTCGATCGCTGGGACAATATGTTTATTCGCCTGACGTTTCGGCATCCGTCGCGGATTCGTCATCAGATAACTTTATGTCCGCCAACATATCGCCATTTTAAAATAATAGTCAACACTGGAGTGTATGGTGAACTAAGGAGGAAGCAGTGAAAAAATCCTACCAATAAAGCGGGAGCAGATTAAGCGGACCCCCACTTAAAAAAACAAAACGTAGGAAAAAAACTGCTTCTATAAAATTAAGGATGTTGGTTGATTGGACTGCTGTATTGCAATGAGACAGGACTGTTGATGAAAATGTATGAGGGTTGGAAAAGCTTCTTGTCGTTGGAGAAATCATATAGCAGCAAACTCTGCCGTTCACCACCGTAACACCGCCCGACTGGCTTCATCTGTAGACATTCTGCTGATAAATGCGCAAAGCCTACTTAACAAACTGGCAGAACTACAAGTACTTATCGAGCAGAAGCGCCCTGCGATTGTTGCAGTGACGGAAATCTGGCTATTCGAATCAGTAAAGGATAGTGAGATCGGTGTACCTGGGTAACGAGTCTACCGCTGCGACCGTAATGATAGAATACACGGGGGTGTCTTGCTATATGCTACTGACGGCCTAGTTTTATCAATGCTAGAACGCACATGCACAGAAGACAACCGTGTGGAACAACTCTGGTTATCGGTTAAGGCCACTACTGGTGCAACTACAATCATGGGTGTTATATACCGAAGTCTTCGAGCTAACAGTATAAGCTGGTTGAATACAGTCAAAAAGTTTGCCAAAATGTCGCGGGTCTGCAGTGTTGGTGACTTTAATTGCCCACATATAAACTGGTCTCATCTAATTCTAGAAGGCCTTGCCTCTGAGACGGAGATCGCTTTGCTAGAAGTGGTAAACGAAACTCATCTCGCACAACATGTTGGCCAGCCTACGCTGATAGCTGATTCGGGTATGGCCTCATGTCTGGACTTGATATTCACAAATGGCCAAACAAAAGTGTCTGATAAAAGAATCTCTGCACCCCTCGGCACCAGTGATCATGCTACTGTCTTAGCAGCACTCCACATAACCGGATCGCCGTCAATGCGTGGATGCTACAAGCCGGCATATTGGAAGACTGATTATGACGAAATGAGACAGAACGCTATGAACCTATCTTGGGAACCGAGTACCCCTGCCAATGTCGAAGAATGCTGGTACTTGAATCGTGGAAATATTTAGCATTTCTGTATCGACTTTGTCCCCCTAAAACTCTGTGGATGGGCAGCATGTCGCCCCCGTGGATCGATTGCGAGACAAAACGCAAGTTGAAGGCAAGGAAACGTGCCTACAAGGCCCTCATAATCTTGAGAACAGCCGAAGCGAAAGCGAAATACAAAGCAATCAGAGATGAAT